TCACTGTTCTATCGCTGCCGTGAGACTCCATGACCACGGCAACTCTTATAAAAATAGACATTTAATTGGACACTTGCTTACAGTTTCAGAGGTTTAGCCCATTAATATCACGGCAGTGAGCAAGGCAGCATGTGGGCAGACGATGGAGCCGTAGCTAAGAGCCGCATCCTGATCCCTAGGCAGAGAGACTCTGGGCTTGGCATGGGCATTTGGAACCCCAAAGCCCCTCCTCCCCCATGGCAACAACAAGACCACACCTCCTAATCCTTTTAACCTTTTCAAGAAGTGCCACTCCTTGGTGACTAAACAATCAAACATGAGCCTATGGGGGCCATTCTTATTCAAACCACTAGAGGGAGGGTGTCTTGTTAGAGGGGAGGGCACCCTGGGGCATCAGGAAGGGTGTGGGCAGACTCAAAATAATGTGTCCTGTGTTCTAGAAGCCAGGGTGGAGATTGAGTGATGGGCATGAAGCAGTCTGGGCTGAGCACGATGTTAGCTTGCACTCCCTCACCTTCATAGTGGGGTGACAGTGGCAGTGCCCCTGGGGATGGCAGAGGCCTTCCAGCAGGAAGTTGTAGGTGCTTAGCCCAATGTCTGGGTGACTGTCTCCACTCAGCTGTTGTTCATCTCAAGGAACTGAATCGGTACGGAGTAGGGTTAGATGATGCACGAGGGCCGGCTGAGGCAAGTGAGGACAGCTGCAGACCCACAGAGTTAACAGAGTTACCGCGGGAATCTGCAGACATGACCTCCAGCTTCCTTGTGGCCGTATGAAAAAGGGGAGATGGGATCATTACAGATCACGGGTTATCAAGACAGAGGAAGTAACACTTCTTCAAGGAAAGCCATGTTATTCTCCTCGAGGGTGTTTCTCAGTGGGTGCCTGAGGAGAGCAGTATCACTGGACAGGAATCATACAGCTTTTCGGGATCATTTTTGCAAGATTGTTGCTTGCAGGGACCTTACGGGGACAAGGAAGGAGGGGAGGAGGCTTAGAGAAGGCGGAAAGGTCAGGGGGAGGAGCTGAGCTCTCAAGACTCAAGGCTAAAGCTTGGAGGCTAGGAGCAGGTGGGACTGGGGGTTGCCCACTCTTCCCAGGAGTAGAGGTGAGTGGAGCGTTTTCCTTCGAATCCTGGGAGTCAGGCTCTGCTCATACTTCCCAGCTGTGTGGCTACAGGCAAGAGGCTTCACCTCTCTGAATCTGTTTCCTCATTCACAAAGTGAAATTTTCCCTGGGGGGCCATCTGAACATGGCAGAGGTGTGTGCACACCGCCGATGCTCTGGTCTGTGTTAGTCACTTATATAGACATGGGATGCATATAGGGATTACACCTCTTTATTCCGTGAGCTTCCCGGTAGTGGGCGGCATAAGGAATGTGAGTGACAGGGATGCGGTAGCTCTTCGCAGCTGGCAGAGGCCGAATACCCATTGTCTTTCCACACAGTGTTCCCGGAAGTGGGAGGGAGGTGCTCTGTGGCGGAGCTTAGGAACCAGGGGTGGCCAGCCCTGTGCCCATGTCCTGGCCCTGAACCCGAGCAGGAAAGACAGATGGACTGGAACATGCCATTCCTCCGGCCCCTCTGGCTGGCCTTTTCCCATCTGCCTTGACAAAGGCCACCAGAAGGGGCACGAAGGGGCAAGAACACCGTGTGCCAGGCCAGTTCTCAGCATAGCCAGCCCTCCTTTTTGATGGGTTTTCTATCCCTGGATTTGACCAGCCGTAGATGAAAGGTATTTTGGAAAGCCGGATGTGGTAGCATACACCCATAATCCCAAGACTCAGACCAGGAGGATTACCAGTTTGAAGACAGCCTAGCCTACATAACAAGATTCTCTCTCTCTCAAAAACAAAAACAAAAACAAAATATCATAAGCAAAACCAAGAAGGGGGTGGGGGGAGAGAAGCAAAATAGAAAAAGGAAAAGAAAGAAAAAAAAGACAGAAAGGAAACCATTTAGGTTGAAATTGGGTGTGTTCTGAGCATGTGTGGCCTTTTCTTCCCATTTCTTGTCAGAGAACGCTGCGGTCCAAAGGCTCCGCACAGCACGTCCGTGACGTTAGATATTTCCCCAGGAAAAAGCATTTGGCAGAATGCATGTGGTTCTATATACAAATATGCTAATGTAGAAATGGATGTGAGGATTTGCGCATCCAAGAGGCCTGGGGGAGCCGGCTCTAGTTCGCATTGGAGTTAGTCCTTGGGACCTCCAACAGTGTAGGACCCGTCACCCTATTTCCTCCACATCCACTTTGAAGACAAGGCATCTGAGGTGCTGAGATCCTGGACTCCCTCCAGGTCCCCAGGAAGTCCATGCAGCTCAGGTTATGGGGTCTAGAAATATTGGTGGGGGGACAGACAGAGGCTGAGGGTCTTCCTCCACCTCTCCCACTTAGGAGGGTTGGGGGCAAGGAGGTGACGGCTACACCAATGGACGACATCTAATAGGATGAACCACGACAGACCTGGCAGAGGGACATATATGCCTCCGGAGCCATCCCTGATGGCCCTGGCTCAGAGATAAAATGACACAGCCTCTGACCCCAGCTGCTCCCAGCCCAGCCTAAGACCCAGACATGACATCATCTGGGTCATCTTCCTATGGCCAGCGGCGTCTCTGAGTCCCTTGTGCCGGTGACCGGTGACCGAGGCTGCTGGGCGGAGCTCTCTCCTCCTTCCCTCAGCCTTCCCTTCCTCGTTTGTGCATGCTCTTTGCTCCCACTCAGAGGCCCCTGGTCCCAGAAAGCCTATAGCTCCCAGGCTGAACGCCAGCCCCTCTTACTTCTTGGGGCATTTAGGGGTTGCCCTGGCCCAGTGCTACCTCTCCGTCATACCTGTGAGTCCACCGTGGGAAGAGAGACTCGAAGGAAGTTGTTTTCCATCCCCGGTGCCTGGGAGGCCTAGCACAGGGAGAGTGGACACACACACGCGGCAGCAGTGGTGGATGTGGCGTGGTAGTTAAGCCCTGGGTTCTGCAGGCTTCGGATAGCTTTCTCACCCATCTGCTCCCCAGGTCCCACGGTAGCTTCTCCAGGGTTAAAGCGGGAGCCGGCTCACTCAGTGAAGAGCTTGCCTTGCATCACGGGGACTTATGTTCAATCCCAGCACTCTAAGAAAACAGAACAAAGCAAACAAAGGTGTAGCAGTACCAATCTGAAATATCTGTGCGGAGGAGACAGGGGCAGAAGGATGCAAGGGCCTTGCTGGCTGGCCAAATCAGTAGAATCTGTGAACTCCAGATTCAGTGAGAGACCCTGAGTCTGCCCCTCCCCCCCCAAAAGGTGGAGAGTGATTGAGGATGACACTTGATATTTACCTGTGTCCTCTACAAGTGTGCTTACACACACACACACACACACACACACACACACACACACACACACACACAGAGTGGAACTACTGAGTGTTCAGTCTCTCAACACGTAAGAGTTGAAAGTGGCACCTCATCTTGTCATTGACACTGTCTTCCCCAACAATAGCCTCTCTCTTTCCCTCCCTCCCTCCCTCTTCCTCCTGCTTGCCCTCCCCCTCCAGCACTAGGGATGATGAGCCCGCAGGTGCTGGGTGAGTGAGTGTTCGCTCACTGCATCCCTGCCCCGTGTTTATTCTAACCTCTTCATCCCTCGGATAGATAGGCTCCTGTCTACAAAGCGTGGTGGCTCCCAAGCTCACGTCTGGCTCACATCTGGCTCCCTTGGGCTTGGAGCCCCAGCAAAATTTTTCAAGTGACTTTTATTTAACAAAAGCATTTTTTCTGTAATGAGAGGTGAACTCAAGCCCCAGAGGAGCGGCCCTGAACCTGAACACAAGGGAGCTGGCTGGTTGGTAAAGGGGGGCTTTGATTGGCAGTCTTACCGGGGTTAGAGTTTATTTGTCAAGACCAGAGGGCTCTGACAGTGCTGGTCAGAGCCTTCAGTTCAAATCCTGTGCACCGCGGGGCAGTGATGTTTCACCTCTAAGTACTGAGGGCTTTCTGTGTACCCTTGCCAAGCTAATTGCCCCGATGTCCATTGCTCTCGAACGTGCTAACATGGTCTGTGATCTGAATGTCCCTGTTTTGTTGATGGGGAGCCTTGAAGCTCAGACAGAAGTCATATGCCAGAAACGCACAGCTGGGAGGTAGCAAAAGTCAGATTTGAACTCTGCACCCAACCACTGCCTCTGGCACCTCCGAGTTCACAAACTCTCAGGACGCTGCACAGAAACCCAGCTGGGTCGCTGTGGGGCTAATGCAGGACCAGCTGGCGGCCTACCCTAGCAATACTCACAGGCTGCGTGGGTCACTATCCCCACCCAAGGTCACCAGGCCAGGAAGGTCTGTATCCAATTCATGGTGACCACCAGGCCCAGAGAAGGCTTTCTGAACCTCTGTTTTTGTGCTTCTTGGAGGCAGTCTTACCATGTAGCCCAGGCTAGCCTCAAACCCATGATCCTCCTGCTTCAGCCTCCCCAAGCGTCTGCATTATAAACATGAGCCATTTCGTTTTCCACATTTCTAATTTTAAAAATCATTTACTTATTTATTCGGCATGTGTGTGTGCGTGTGGGGGGGGGGCACGAATGTATCCATGTTCATGTATGGAGGTCAAAGGACAACTGTGGGGACTCACTTCTCTTCCACCGTGTGGGTCCTCAGGACTGAACTCCGGTTGTCAGACTTGGCCAGAAGGTGTCTTTACCTGCTGAGCTATCTCACTGGGTTAGTTTCCATACTTTGTAAAGTAACAGCAGCAATGCATGCTGGGAAGACCAGATCATAGGAAGGGGTGTGTCTTCGGTGTCCGGAAGGTTCTGGAGCAGTTCTTCCATCTTCTGTGCCCCCGCTCACTGCCACACCGACAGTGTGACGGTTGTTCTGGGGAGAGCCAGTTGGTTCCAGGTTCAAGGGCTCCGCCCTTCCCAGCAGGGAAACCTTGGCTGAGCGTCTCTCTCTGAGCTGCCATGTCCTCCTTATTGGACTCTGGGTCTACCCGCTGCCTCTTCTTCCCTCCCTACAGGTGTTTCCAGCTGTGCGTAGTGACCAGCTGGCTGGGGCCTCACTCACACTGGAGTTCTGTTCTGCAACAGTGAACCGTGAAGGTCTCCAAAGGTAGGGGGACTAGTGGCCATCAGCAGGGTGGGATCGGGAGAGGGTGCGAGGATGGCTGTCCCCAGGGTTTTGGATGTGTGAGTGGAACCATGGTCACTGCCACAGGCTCCCTTCTTCACGCACGGCACGTGGAGCTGGTGTGATAGTCCATACCCTAGGGTATGAATTGAATGACTAATTGCCTCAGACACAGACTATAGAGGAAGGAAGGGTCCTTAGGAGGCCGGTGAGACTTGGTTTAGGAACCCTGTCTTTTCTGGTGGGGGGGGGTCCTCATTGAGATTTGTATTAGTTACTTTTATATCGCTGTGATAAAACACCATGGCCAAGGCGACTTATAAAAGAAAGCATTTAATTGGGCTCACTGTTTCAGAGGGTCTATAACGGCAGAACGAAGGCATGGCTACAAGGTAGCTGAGTGTTCGCATCTCACAAGCAGGAGACAGAGAGAACAACCTGACCCCAGTGACACACCTCCTCCCAATCCTTCCCAAACAGTTCCACCAAATGGGGACAGAGTATAAGACTATGGGGCCATTCTTATTCAAAACACCACAGGGTTCCTAACCCACTCCACCTCTACAGCTTCAGGTTGTTTGGGGCTGGGTCTCCATCTGGCCTCACATTCATTCCCACTTGGACATGTGGGGTCCAGCTGTTATTGCCTCTATCTATAGGCTAACCCTTATAATAGTGCTGGGCTTGCAGGATGGCTGGAGATATTTGTAAAAGAGATAAAGTAGGCCAGGCGTGGTGGCCCACGCCTTTAATCCCAGCACTCAGGGGGCAGAGACAGGTGGATCTCTGTGAGTTCAAGGCCAGCCTGGTCTACAGACTGAGTTCCAGGTCAATCAGGGCTACATAGTAAGATCCTGTCTCAGAAGAAGAAGATGGGGGAGAAGTAGGGGGAGATGGAGGAGGAGGAGGAGGAGGAGGAGCAGGAAGAGGAGGAAGAAGAGGAGAAGTAGGAGGAGGGGAGGAAGGGGCGTGGTGGGGGGGAAGAGGAATGGGGGAGGAGTGGGATGAGGAGTAGAAGGAGGAGGGGGAGAAGGAGGAGGGGGAGGAGGAGGGGGAGAAGGAGGAGGGGGAGAAGGAGGAGGGGGAGGAGGAGGAGGGGAAGGAGGGAGGAGAAGGGGGAAGAGGAGGGGGAGGAGGAAGGGGGAGGAGGAAGGAGGAGGAGGATGGGAAGGAGGAGGGGGAGGGGGGGTGAGGAGGAGGAGGAGGAGAAGTGAGGCTGGGGAGATGGTTGTCAGTACTAAATGAACTAATGAACTTCACGTTCAGTGAGAGTCGGCCTCCTCTGACATTGCCCCCTGCCCTCCACATGCACCTACCCACACACGAACACAGGTACATGCACATGTGACAGGCAAACGAATACAAGGACGTGAAAGGACAAAGAGGAGATGGCTGAGGAGGAAGCGGCGGTCTCGCTGTTGCCAGGCAACGCCTCGGCACCTGTCCGTCAAGGTCTTTAGCCTGCGACCCTGTCTTCCCTTGCAGAGATGGAGGACTACGGCGCTTACAACGATTCCAGCAGTTACGATGGTGAGTACTCTGACGGCTTTGACACCATTATGGATTTGGAGGAGGTGAACCCGCTGGAGGCCAAGGCGGTGGCCCGCGTCTTCCTGGTGGTGATCTACAGCGTGGTGTGCTTCCTTGGGATCCTAGGCAACGGCCTGGTGATTGTCATTGCCACGCTCAAGATGAAGAAGACAGTGAACACCGTGTGGTTCGTCAACCTGGCAGTGGCTGACTTCCTGTTCAACATCTTCCTGCCGATCCACATCACCTACACTGCCATGGACTACCACTGGGTGTTCGGGAAGGCCATGTGCAAGATCAGCAGCTTTTTGCTCAGCCACAACATGTACACTAGCGTCTTCCTGCTCACGGTCATTAGCTTTGACCGCTGCATCTCTGTGGCGCTTCCTGTCTGGTCCCAGAACCACCGCAGTGTCCGGCTGGCCTACATGACCTGTGTGGCCGTCTGGGTCCTGGCTTTCTTCTTGAGTTCCCCATCTCTTATCTTCCGGGACACGAACCATGTGCACGGGAAAACAACCTGCTTCAACAACTTCAGCTTGTCTGCCCCTGAGTCGTTCCCACACTCCACTCACTCCCGAATGGATCCTGTAGGGTTCAGTAGACACATGGTGGTCACCATCACCCGCTTCCTTTGTGGCTTCCTGGTCCCCGTCTGCATCATCACGGCTTGTTATCTCACCATCGTCTTCAAGCTGCAGCGCAACCGCCTCGCCAAGACCAAGAAGCCCTTCAAGATCATCATCACCATCATCGTCACCTTCTTCCTGTGCTGGTGCCCCTACCACACCCTCTACCTGCTGGAGCTCCACCACACGGCTGTGCCGGCCTCTGTCTTCAGCCTGGGACTGCCCCTGGCCACTGCCATCGCCATCGCCAACAGCTGCATGAATCCCATTCTCTATGTCTTCATGGGGCATGACTTCAAGAAATTCAAAGTGACTCTCTTCTCCCGCTTGGTCAATGCCCTGAGTGAGGACACAGGACCCACCTCTTACCCTAGTCACAGGAGCTTCACCAAGATGTCATCACTGAATGAGAAGCCCTCAGTGAATGAGAAGGAGACCAGCGCACTCTGAGCCTTACTTGGGAATGCCCCCATGGGTGCGGCAGCCCAGGGACACCCAGGGACTTGTCTCCTGAAGTGGGAGATGTGGTGGGAGCCTTTCTGGTATGCTCCGATGCCCAGTACATTTTGTACAAGGTGACTCACGTTTTGAGTGGGATTCCAGAGTGTGGACACTCTTCCAGCGAAGTGGAAGGCAGATCAATCCAAACCTCTGGAGCAGGAGGAGTAGGGGACCGGCTTTGACTGACTCAGAAGAGGGCAGGGTTCTCCAAAGCCAAGGCCTGAACTGTGATCAACATTTAGGCACAAGATTTCCCTATGTGTGCTGCGTGGTCTCTGGTGTGGGTGAGGAAGTCAGAGCAAACCCATTGTACACCTGCTACAGCCACACGACAGTCAGTCAAGCCAGCAAGCCAACCCCCACCCCCACCCCGGCACCCTCCAAGACCTTGACTTTGGATTTAGATGAGCTTGGAAGACCAGGACCTGAGGGACTGCATGGAACACTGCAAGAGCAAGGCGGGCAGGCTGTAGGGGGGGGGTGGTGGTGGTAAAGAAATGGAGGGGAGCAGAAACCCCAAAGGATATGGGCGTAGAATACCTCAGCAGCGTGCCACAGGGAGACGGTGCTCTAGGTTGTGGATGCCTGGGGTTCAGGTGGTGGCAGCCCTTTGCTTCAGCGCTTATACGCACCTGGCATTGTGACCTGAGGCTGGGGTGGGGACTTCTTCACAGAAGTTGTTCATTCCATCCCGGGGTCTCTTCTCTCCTTCCCTAGTCCTCCCAACTCTGTCTGGAAGGTCTTAGAATACACATCCTGGATGGAGGGTGGAGGGTGGAGGGATCGTCTCCCCCATCCATCCCCTTTAAGCTTTCCTGGTCTAGAATGGAATTTTGAGACTCCAGCCTTGGAGCATCTCCCGAAGGCTGTCTCTGGGGGCTCAGAGCTAATCTGATTCCCCCTTGAATCACACTTCCCAGGTGAGGCATCTCTGCCCTGTGGGCAGCCTATGGGCAGGCTTTCCTCCCCAAATCAGACACTTTCTCCTGGCAGGGAAGCCAAGGTGTGAGGAAGGAAAATGACTCACCCAACACCACACACTCCTAGTCAGGGACAAAGACCTGAGCCCGGCTCTGCCTGGCTGACTCCATTTCTTCTCTGAGGATTTGATAGCCTGCTTGATTGGTCATTTCCCAGGCATGTGAAGTGTTTCACATGCATCTTCTCATTTATTCTTCACAGAAACCCCAGAGTTAGGTCCTTATACATATGAGGAATCAGAGGCTCAGAGAGGTGGAGTAACCGGCCCAAGGGGACCCAGTTAGATGCTGGCAGACTGGATTTGAACCTCAGTTTCCTTGGCTCAGAAGAGGATGTAGAGTTAGTGGGTTTGGGGTTTTAGCCATAAATACTGGTTCTTCAGTGGATCTGTGTGAACATCTTGATAGTCTTTCTGAAGCTTTGCATGGCAAACAGGCAAAGAAAATGCGCTTGATTTCCAGTCTCCACCTCCCCCTGGTTCCCGTCACACACGCCCTGAAGTCTGCTGGGCAAGTGTAGGGAGGAGCCTGGCAGCGGAAGCCCTTCTGGGCCCAGTGTCTACTTCAGCTAGTTCTCTTCCAAGCCACTTCTCCGCCAGGGTGTAATACACAGATGCATGTCCTCTGGCCTGGCCAGTTCCTGAACTTTAGGCTGCTTGGACTCACACTTCATCAGAGGACAGGCTGTTCCTCCCTGGTTGGGTCTTGAGATGAGGCAGTTCTGAACTGATCCAAGCTGGAGCCTCGATTGCTTCAGAGGGCCTGAACTTACAGGGACTGTGAGCAGAGAGGGAGGTTCAAAAATAGACTCGTGTTCCCACTGTCCTCCCAGGGCCACGGATGTGCCCTGGTATGGGATGCCATGGTATGGGATTCATCATGTCACAGAGGCCCTTGTCCGTGACTGAGGCCCCCTGGACAGTACCCTTCCGGGACATCAGGGTTGGCCAGGTCAGGCAAGGGCCCAGGAAATCTTGTTGCCATTGGAAAAGCTGACACTTGTCAAAGCCCACCCTCTTCCTCCTGGCTGTCATAACATGCAACATGCAAACACTGCTCACGCAAACACTAAGTGAAACCTTCAGTCTTGTCCTGGAGGCTTCTCACAGCAACAACAACCCCCCTCCCAACCCCCCCCCCCCCCCCCCCCCCGGTCTCCCAGGACCTATGTGTAATCCTTGTAGCTGGCAAACTGTGGTGGCCCCCTGCGTCCAGACGGACAGGGGCAGCACCTTCTCTGGGACTAGGACCCAGCAAAGTGCCTCATTGATGCCTCCTGGGTGGGTGATGGGCTATGGGAACAAGACAAGATGTTTGGGGTGTGGGGGAGGGGAGCAGAGCATGCTGGGGAGGAGAGAGCCCCATGCTTCTCAGCATCCAGATGCCAATGAGCATTCCAATCTGTGCCTGGACCCGGGGTGGGGTGGGGGAGGACACTGTGTCCCTTCGGGTCATGCAGAAAGTGACGTCAGGGCCACACAGCTAGGTAGTAGTGATGTGGGGCGTGCATGGAGGCGGGTGGCGCTTGGAACCAACTCTGCTGCCTAAGACCCCACCTTTGTCAGCCCATGGAAGTAAGATGGGAAGGAAGGAAGGGGAAGAGGGAGAGAGAAGAGGAGGAACAGGAAAGAAGGGGAAAGGAAAATGGAGTAATGCTACCTCAACCCCAGAACCTCCACTTCCGCTGAGCCCCCTCCTTCGTACTAGGCAGGCTCTCTTGGAACACGCCTCTAGCTCATCCCCTGGGGTTCCCTGTTCAGAGAGGGACTTGAGAGGTCTGTGGTTCTGGGGTTCAGACGGAGCTGTCTATTCTGGTGGAGAGAGCCACTGTGAAGTGTGATGCTTGTCACAGAGGGGCTAGGGACACGTCCTTGGGAAGAGACTTGTGTGGCCCTGGGGAGAGCAGGTCGGTGTTGAGATGGTGGGAGGTGCCTGAGTGCTGTAGGCGGAACTGTGGGAACATCAGTGCTGAGGAGGGAGAGCAATGCAGGGGTCTGAGGGACAGACCACAGTGCAGTGAGCAGGAGGTGGACAGAGGACCAGGGCTGGGGAGGCACAGGTGAGGCCCTGACCTGCTCAGACCTTCCTGTGGAATCCCTCCCCTTCCCTGCTCTGGGAAGCACTGGGGAGAGGAAGCCAGGAGGCTCAGCCTCAGCAGGAGCCCCAGAGGTCTCTGGACTGGGAAAGCTGCAGAGAGTGGAGGGCTTGGGAGGTATTTAAAAGCTCTGCGCTTTCTCGGGGGAGTGGTTAGCAGGAAGCCAACCCTGGGCCCATCGGTGCGGCACAGAGGTCCTGCTGCATTCGTCTGTTGATGGAAATTAATTGTAAATATTATTCAAATGTACCTCCCAGTGCACAATTATACTTCTCAGGGGAGTTCTTTGAGTACATCGGGAAACTCTGTAAATAATACATACATTAGCCCCGGTGCACAGCGGCAAGCTAACACCGCTGTGGCAGTGGCGGCGGTGGCAGCGGCTGTGGGGATTACTCCGAGCGCTCGGGCTGGAGGTTAGCCTTGGACAACCAGATCTGTCTCCCCCAGAGGATGGGCACAACCCTAGGCATGCCACCCTGGTCACTGGCCAGGTGGGGACACAGTTGGTAGGGGAGGAAGACACACAGGTCTGGAGCATACCTGCCTGGGCTGAGAGGCTCCCAGCAGCTGTAGTCACAGTGTGATTACTTTGGGTGTGTTTCAGTTTGGGGCAAGCACTTCTGTCTCATGAGGACCTCACTGAATCTTTACAGAAAGACCATGAAGATCTTGTGCTAAGACCCAGTGCCGTGTTCATAGATGGGTGAAGAAGTTGAGAGATTCAGACAGGGGAGGTGAACTGTGCAAGGCTGCACAGTTAGTGAGAGCTGAGAGCCAAGCCCTGTCTGTCGTCCGTCTGTCTGTCTGGAAAGCTCTTGCTATCCCCAGAAGTTACTCGGTCAGTCTCTGCCCCTGCCCCCATCAACTTTTGAGGTGGGGCGGTGGTGAGTCTGAGGGAGTGCCTTGTCCCTCAGAGGGGAGGCCATGACGTTTTGTCGGTTCCTCTCGGCCTCTGGGTTTAGGAGTTTGGAAGAGACACTACTTGAAGTCCATCCTTTCTCAGCCCCCTAGTTCCCAGATCATGAAACTGAACAGGATACAAATAGTTTGGGGACCCCACCCCCTTACCCCCACCTCAATGAGAATGGTGTGGACATGCTTCTGAGATTCACTTTTAAAATGTCAGCTTGCATACCTGGGGATTCATCCAGCTGCCCTCTTCATGGCTAAACTTTGAGTACCAGCTTCGGTGACCATCTGCCCAGGGTCGAGCAGAATCCTGGCTGAAGGAGAGTCAGGTCTCAGCAAAATCTGCTTTGGAGCAGAAACAAGACAACAAGACATCTTCACTATTGCCCTGGATGTGACTGAGGGTGTCTCTGGACTTGGGAGGTAATGGCAGGGGCACCTCCATATAATAAAATCCCAGTCTGTACATCTGAGGTGAATGTGTTCTGAAAAAAAATGAAAAATCTTTTAGAAGTAATCCAGGGTGTCCTCAGGAGTGACCTTCCCTTCACACCCCTGCAGATGGCGGGGGAGGGGGGAGGGGGGCGGGGTGGGAGAAGCAAGCATGGAGATTTGTAGACATCGGGGAATGGTCCGTGCAGACTCCACCCAGGGACTGAGCCCTCACAGACAACCAGGCTTAAAGCCTCTGGTGGCGCTGACTTGGAAGAGAGGCTCCTTACTCAGCCTGCGTGGGCTGGAATCCCACCAGCACTGTGCACAACGATCAGGGGCCTTGGGAGAGGTTTTGAAACATCTCTGAGAAATCTTCCTTTCCCTCATGGATGGTTTGTAGCTCTGAGGTGCTGCAAGGCTGTAGGAGACCCCTGTGCAAGTACTTGGCCCTCATTCGTATGGACAACAAGCCCCTCACTGGCCCAGACCTCTCGCTCACAATTTTCCATTGTAGAATACACTCAGCTAAAACTGTAGTTACCATGGCTCACAGAGCCTTGGAGAGCCAGCCACCAACTTCTTCCCCACAACACCAGTTGCTGATCAGCCGGCTAGCCTCACTGGCCCTCAAAACCAAATCATAGCAAACAGGTAGCCGCCATCACCAATCCCCAGACTGTTCTTTTGGGGCGGCCCTGCCTCTGGTGCTGGTTTTACCTATGTACTTCTCTATCCCCTCAAATGTCACCTTCTGCTGGGCATGGCAGGCCCACTTGTAATCTAGGGATCCAAAAGCTGAGGCAGGAGGATTGCGAATTTGAAGCGCGCTCGACTACAGAATGAGACCTTACCCTCAAAAAAGAAAAGCCCAAACCAAATCAAGTCACTCCCTCAGCAGGGACGTCGCCTCCTCTGAGGCGGTCTGATGAGACCTGACCCTGCTCAGGGTCACAGATGAGATCTCACTTTTCTGTGGCATGGTCATCAAAATCACTTTATTTGTTTATGTATTTAGTTGTCCCCTGTCTGTTCCCTGTTGGGAGAGGAACTCCATCAGGGCAGCGACCCGTGGGTCCCACTCGCCCTGTGCTCCCACAGCAGAGCTCAGCTTGGAAGACCTGTTTATATGTTGCCATCACTGAATAGTCCTAGGATGTGGTCCTTTCCTCTTGGTCCCCTGATGTTGTAATCTTACAACACCCCCAAGGTGTGACACCTAGAGAGGATGGACCAGATCCCTGCATGAAACGGAGGAGCTGTGGTTCTTCCTGAGGCCGTCCATCGGGGGCAGAGGAGGTTTTCATCAATGGTTTCTGCTTCTCCCAGGCCTTCTTTCCTGGCTGATTTATTGCAGCTTGGGAAAAAAACAGATACCTCCACCCCAGCTCCACACCCTCCCCATTGTTTTCCATCTCCTCCAGACTAGCATTCTCTTAAAGGCTTGGCAGGCACGGCTGTGACCACAGACTTCCTGTGTTTATCCTTCGACTTGGAAATCGTGAAAGAATATGTTGGGCATCGAGTCTGTGCTGGCCACAGATAGGGTCCCCTGACGCCCTGAGGCTCTGCAGCCCAGATGCGCCGGGAGAGACAGGCATAGGCTTCCCTGTGTCCCAGTTTCCACTGCACAGATGTTCGACATCCTACGGCAGGCATCTGGATAGCCGAGTGACTTTCTGAGTTGATTCCAGATGTTGAAGGAGGCAGGGAAGGGGTACTCAGGGTCTAAGTGTTTGGATGTAAGCATGGATGGCTCTCAGTCAGCAGCAGGTGTTTACAATATAAGGCTCTGGCCATCCCCGACGCCTCACTGGGAAGGACTGGGATGGGCTTTCTGGTAGGATGAGAAGAGGCTGGAGACAACGGCACAGCATCCGCCCTAGGTCACCGTCTTTAGGAGCCTCCGCTTTAGGGATGAGGGAGGTGACAGTCAGATCCACACAGACGCCCATCCATTGGTTAGCGTTGAGTACTTGCTAGGCTCTGGGGACTCAGCACATTCCTAGTTTCATGAGTCAGTCATACCGGGTGCCGGCCGTAGCAGAGCTGGAATCCAAACTGGTGTTCGCGGGGAGCTCTGACTTTCCCCTGCCGCTACACATTCTGCTTCCTGTGAAGTAAGTCAGATCCCAAGGAATCTTATAAGGCCAACTGGGGAGAAAGGCTTGGTGTTGAGTTGGAGAGAAAAGACTCAATTCTTAAACGGGAGTGGAGTGGAGACTGATTCTGGAATCGAATACACACCTGCCAGCAACTCCCCTCTAGCCCTGAACCTCTGAGTAGGAAGGGGTCTGACCCATCAGCTCTTCCCTTCTCAAGCCCTGTGAATGGCTGATGGAGGCAGGAACCTGAAAGAAAACAAGTGTGAACTCCCTGGTCCCTCTCACCGTAGGGACCACCAGCTTCCCAGTCCATTGGAATCAAATGTGTCTAGGGGCTGGAGAGATGGCTCAGTGGTTAAGAGCATTTGTTCTTGCAGAGGACCCAGGTTCAATTCCAGGCATCTTGGTAGTGGGTCACAACTGTCCATGTAGTTCTTGTTGAGGGTTGGGCAAATCCAAGGCTTTCCCCCAAGGCCCTCATGTGTGGAGAAGGAACCAGGAATATGCTAGGCAGAATTGGCAATGGCTTGGGGCTAGAGCCTTGCAGGAGCTGTGGCTTCAGACCCTGAGAATTCAAATCTTCCTGCCATATGGGGCTACGG